AAGAAGGTTTTAGATGCTGTTTTTACTATGTTTTAACTTTGTTTCAGACTTTTTCTCGGTCGTTTGAGTTCCAATTCATGCAAAATTCATATATKATGGTTTGTGGTTGGCTTATATTGTATTTATGACATTTTAGGACCATTTGGGAGTGGAAATTAATCAAAAGAAGCAAAAAGTCGGAAATACCAGCATGGGAGGCGCCAGGCGCCTGGGAAGGCTGCAGAAAACAGTTTTTCTTCCACTTTGCCCTTAATGAAACGCGTCTTCCAATGCGTTTTGGTGGTTCCAACCGATGCATACGTGTAGAAGAAGTGTTCCACTATCAGTTTGAGCACGATTTAGTCAGTCAAAGGAGTTAGAAATGGGTGATTCACCATCGTTTTAGGACCTACCTAACCAATTCTGCACAGCTATAAATTCCAGCAGCTTCTCCACCAAATGTATCAAGCCTTGCTTCCTTCTCTTGATCATTTTTAGTGTTTCTTTGTTGCTTTCTAAGTACTTTTGAGTTGCTTTCATTAGTTGCTTTTGGTTTTTAAATCCCGAGCACTTTACATTCTTTTATTGAGCTTTGTTTTGTTTTCATTTGTACTTAGTTATTTTCTACTTATTCAAATATATAAAAATCCAGTACTTTGCTTATCTTCCCTTTGCCTTTACTTTATTTTTAGTTAAGAGAGTTGTGTTTTTGGAGGAAAGAGCACGTGATACTCCCCCTTGCTTGAAAGAGAAGGGCGAAGCTCTCAATCCCGATAAAAACTCTCCGTTAGTTAACTTTTGTTTTTCACACATGCATTCCAATTTCAACCATTCTACTTGCTGTATTTTCTTCAATATGTCTTTCTAAATTCCCGTCTCTAGCCCGGTTATGGATAGTTAGCCTTTTATTTCTAAAAAGGGTTGCTAAGAAGTAGTGTTTTTGCTTTCCATTCATTACTCAACATGTTTTCCCAAAAAGTTAGGATTTAGAGAAGGCCACTGTAAGTCTTAACAAGTCAATACTGAAAAGGTTGCTTATTTGCATTGTTGAGTGGTTAAACCAAGGAGAGGAGCGCCTTAGACATAAGGGTTCCGTTTAAGTAGCCTAGACATAGGACCTTACCCCGAGGTTGCAACTATTTCCATCCTAAAACTAAGATATCTCTCGTAATAGACATATTAGGGAATGTCTTAGGACTTTGAACTTGCTTAGACATAAGTCAAGTGGAAAGCGTAGTCGTTGGTTCCTAAAGTAAAATGCACATCGTCCTTAGCGTATCCTTAATTCTTTGTTGGCTAACTTGAAGTAATTCGGGCTAGGTTTTACCATTATAAGACCGAATCCCAAATCCAAAACCATTATTTGTGACCACTTCCCATTTTACAAAAATCACTCATTTCAACGTTCACTATTCATTAAAACTTTAGAGTTTGGAAATTATTTAGAAGTCCTTGAGGATCGATACTTGGATACTCCATCCATTTTATATTACTCTGATAGGTGTGCGCTTGCATCTATAGAATTGTTACCACGCTCAGTGCGTGCGTTCAGCAAAACCACCAGTCATTCACCACTAAGAAAGTCGAAGCAGAAGACTTCAAAGAAGACAGATTTGTAGATAAGACCCAGATCTATAATAATGCAGAAGACGAAAATTGGAAAAGATGAATGGAATTGATACTTTTTTTTTTGTAATTTTTTGACAGAATGCATATGCTTAGATATAATAAAACATAAGCAAGGAACACAGAATTCAAAGAGATAAATGCAAGGAAACATATATCCGATCAAAGAGCCTAATGCTCT